ATATATATATCACTATTTTGTATCTATTTTTATTAAGTAAATTAAGGAACGAATAATAGCGTAAAATTGGATAAAACGTTATAGGTAGCGAATTCTTTGAACGCACACGCCGCCGCAATCGCAATAAGAATTCACGCGACAAAACGCGAAATTCAAGTTATCGATAATGGCGTCGGAATACCGAAAAACATGCTGAAACATATCGCGAAATATAACGCAGAAGTCATAGGCGATCAGCAACAGGTATGCAAACTATTTGAATCAAACAATCTGGCAGATATTCGTCGTTCGGCTGATCGCCTTACGATTACTTCAAGGCATCAACATTCTGAAGAGACGTTCATGAAGGTATTATTTATAATTGTTAACTCGTTATTAAATTATTTGGTAATATAATTGAAAATAATTAATATAAAAATATAAGCTCACTCCTATTGCTCTTGTCGTTAAGTATACGTCTTTAAATAAAATCAAGATAAATTAATTTCACATCAATCAATTTATTATTAGTATTTTTAATTATAAACTTATTTAAATTAAATTCAAATTTAATTTAACTAACTAAGATTTTAAAAGACGGTTATATTACTTGCGATTTTCAAGAGTAATTTTTTTTTATTTATTTTCATTAAAGGTGTTCGAGATGGGATCTTCATTCAATTTGAAGCAAGTAGAGCAGAGACCTTCGTGTGGCACAACGGTATCTATATACGGTTTTCACGAAATGCCTCATAAAAAGTGGGATACATCTATTATTTGTTTTTTTATCGCGGCTATAGCTGTTACAAAATTAGAAGTATGATTTAATTTATAGTAATGATTATTAATTACGATAATTTATCTCATGATATATTTTTTATATTGATACAATCAGGTATCATTTTCGATTAGAGACGATGAACGGAAGAAGGTTGTTCTGAGAATTGCGAAACCGCACAACTCGATTGAAGTTCTGAGAACACTGGTTGGGAAGAATCTGCCATTGAATCATGTATGGTCGATACAATGCGGTCCTGAACGTAACAACAATTATCACGGTTACGTGGGATTATCTGATAAAAACGCGATGCAATGGATATTTTTAAATCACAGGCCGATCTATTGCCCTCTCATTTTGAAGTTGATTAAAATTGTCTTCGAAGAGAAGTTAAATTTGTTTTCTGATCAGAAATCTAATGCGCGCGATCCATATGATGAAAACGTGTTTATCTTATTCTTTCTTACGTTCTCACAGAAGGAATTCACGCACATTACTGAAAATGGAAAAATTATGTTTTATGATATGCAAAAGGTATTGAATACTGTTAAAAACTGCGCCTTTGAATGTCTCGCAGAAAAAGCTACAGTTTCTGCTATTACCCCTTATTTATATAAAACGCGGCTTTTAAAACAAATATATTTAAAAACAGAACAATTTGCCAATGATATCAATAGATGTAAAAATGTTACACCTTCGATGAAAAGCAGAATGATTATGCTTGAAAGAAGAAAAATTACGTCAACAATTACATCAACCAATTATTTCAACAAACAGCATAAAGGTGATAATATTGAAACCAGCTGTTATATAAACAAGGAAAATAATGATGTATTAAATAGCATCCGATATCAAATAGATCTTACTTCTATGAAACGTGCAAGCTATGAGAATAAAGCTATGAAAAAGATGCATAATGACATTTATAAAATGCAAGAAAATTCCATGAATTTTGATATAGCAAATAATTCTATTAAATCTGATACAATTTATTGTGATAGCAATAACAATAATCATACTATAAATATGATTTCTCCTCTTTCCGAATGGTCGAATTGGACTTATTATACAAATAATAAGAAGCGCGATACGAGAAATATATTTCCTGAAAATGATATATGTTTTCGACAGTTTTTTGAACGTAACAATAATCAATTTGATTTTCTACCACGAAAACTATACGATCTTCTACAGCATCGTCATGTTAAATTGACAAACGTAAAGTACTTTAACAGTCCTAATGATACGATTCCGTGTAAGTAATTTTTAACTTTTAGATAGAACAATATTATGTATAAATGATTATTATATATTTATATAACTCAGTTTGATAAATATTTTGAATTTATAGTTGTAGAAAATTGTCAACATGAGCAAATAGTAGTACATCCTTGTAAGTTGAAGCAAAAATTATGTGAATTTAGACTATCACAAGCATCATTAAAGTGCATAAAAGTACGTACAAAAATTTCAAAACAATAAACTATCTTAAAAGAAATTGTCTTGATAAATATATTTTTTTGTAGATTATTAATCAAGTTAATAACGAATTTATTGCCGCGTGGATGATGTGGAATGAAATGAAAATTTTATTAATGATCGATCAACATGCCATCCATGAAAGAATACGTTATGAAAATTTACTTCTTAGTAAATAATTATAATACTTTTTTCAGACAGAGATAATATTTCTTTTTAACTGAATAGTTTATGTAAAAATTATGAATAAAATATTAAATTAATTTTTTAATTATATAAATATGAAATTATACTGCACTGAATTTTCTTGTAATGCTCAGTTGTTATTATTATTATTATTTAGAATACAAAGTGCAAAATGAGAACGAGTTGCTCTCGGTTAATTTGCGTGATTCTCTGTCTATGGAATTTCCTATAGAAATGTGCAATTTATTCCTATGCAATCAAATTTTGTTGAAGAAATACGGCATAAGTTTAGGATCGTTAAAGGAGAACACACTATTAATACGCACAGTACCACAATGTTTGGTTACAAATAATGATCTCCACAATAGAGAAAAAATATTGCCAAAAATCAGTGGTTTATTAAACGATGTGATAAAGAATTGTAATACAAGTCAAATGAACGCATTACCGTTAACAATTCATAATGCTATAGCATCTGAGGCTTGTCATGGTACTCATAAGTTTAATATTTATGATTTTATATATGTGTGTGTGTGTGTGTGTGTGTGTGTGTGTGTGTGTGTGTGTGTGTGTGTGTGT